GTGTTTTAATCTTTTTGGACACACTATATGCAATATATCTGCGAATGGAAAATCCTATCATAAGTAATCCATAGTTTCGGGCTTTTACCGGAAGGCGTTGGTACCGCAAAGGATCGGTAAAAGTCTGAAATGGAATCGTATTAAAGCATACTTCGGGTATAAAAGCTAGGTTTTACCGGTAAAGTATAAAAGCCAGGTTTTTACCGTAACATATACACATATACTTTTGGTGCAGCTGATTATAACTAAAAAGGAAGGTGCCCAACTACATGTTTTAGAAGTCATATATACAAAATTTCAACGCTCTGAGGCTACTCGTTTTTGAGTTGTGCGAGATACTTAGGTATGTACATACAGTCACGACAAAAATATCTTTTGAATCCATTTTAAATCTATTTTACAATCTGCTTTGGGGAAAAGAGTCCTTTATTCTGTCTTTACGTACAGATGTCACATAAAAACATCGTTAAAGTGCATTCGACAGCGGTCAAAATAGATATTTTCGTTGAAATATGATAGCCGAAATTTTTCGTGATTACAATAAGTCATTTTCTTCGTTCAAGGAAGTAAGAACAGTGTAAACAGATTTTTCATACGAACAGAAAAGTAAATAATATTGAAAGGAAAAAGGTATTCATTAATAAATAATACCGTCCCGTTAAGAAAAGACAAACTGGCTAACATAGTCTCTTTTTTTTTTAATGCAAAACTTTGAAGATGAGGGAAGACATACATATTGCCCAATTTATATGCGATATATTTGAAAATGCGACGAAATTCATAACAAGTTAAACGAAATTCCCCTACAACAAATTAGTACAGCAGTTTATCCAAAGATAAGAGATACCTTGTTTACCATGAGTGTAGGTCATGCCTGAGGTAAGAAACACTCAAATTATGGAATGGAAAACAAATCAGTCATTAATAAACACAACACAGCACAGAAGGCGCAGAATACGTCTAATAATTCAGAGATCGATAATCCAGAAGAAAAAATGAAATTAATGCCGCTTATCTCAGTCTTCTAAAAGATAGTATGGCTACTTTTTTATTGTTGGACGAGATGTCAAGAGTACTTAAAAAGTATTTTTGGTCAACCTGCAGACTCTTCGAAAACGTTGGACCTGATTTTAAACCGCTATATAGTGCTTTACAGTAACCAACCTTCTTGATTTTTATACTGAAATAATTACAATAGGCGCCGCTTAATGTGATCACGTTTAGAAGCTGCAGATTCATTATTTGATAGTTTCAAAAATAAAACTTAGATAATGTCTGCTATTAAATCTGTACAGCTTTCTGCAAATACAATAATGAAAAGGGTTGAGGTTCTGATGTTACCTCACAAAATGATCGCTGCAACTTAACGAATCGACTAATACAATTGATACAGCTCAGTTGGCCGCTTTTGCAAGAATGATTTTGATAATTTCGAAATAAGAGAGGAGCTGGTAAAGATTAACATAAAACACTACAAGACAGGAAATATGTTTAATAGTTAAAGATCTTATCAACTCTGAAAATATTCCTATATATAATTTGGTGGCAGGTAGGCAGAGATAAGGTATTCCTTAACCTTGCGTTCAATTCAGAGACATCCAGAGCACTGACTTTTGAACTAGATTGCCAGTATGGTGATCTAGTGTTTATACGGAAGTTCGTTGGTTGAGTAGAGGAAACGTTTTACAACGTTTTTCTAGAGTTGCTTTCTGCCTTAATAGAATTTTTGAAAAAACGAGGTGATTTCTTCCGTGAACTGAAAGATCCGGTTTGTTACAGGATTTTGCTTTTCTCGCAGACATCACCGAAAAATTAAATAGTCTTAATTTGCAGCTATAAGGTAAGGATAAAGATATTGGCGGAATAATTTCAGATGTTGCTGCTTCATTCTTCTATATATATATATATAAAAAAGAAAGAAAGAAAGAAAGAAACCCTGCAACTGTGGGAAAAAATAGCATCCAAGGTGAATACAAACGCTTTGCCTGTTTGAAACAAACCCTTGAGAAGCAAGGATCTCCTTACAATTGCATACAATACGTTGAAATTACTTGAAAAACGCTTCCGAGATTTCAACTCTTTCAAAGTTTGTCGAATCGCCTTTTATACAGATTGATGCTGAAGATTTCTCGACTTGTGTCATGAATCATTTTCATTTTCAAGAAGATAGTGCCGCATTGGAACTGCAACTGATTGATTTTCGAAATGATTTATCTGTAAAATCGCTTTGTTCAAGCTCTGAAAATATTTTGGCCTCTTGTTCCTAAAGAAAATAGCTAATTTTGGCCAGGTTTTTCTCAAAGTGAAGGCAATGTTCAGCTCTACATATCTGTACGAGATTTCTTTTCCCAGTATGAAATTTATTAAAAATTAAGTACAGAAACGGACTCACTGATGAACATTTGGATAACTGTATTCGAATGGCAGCCACTAACTACTCTCCCAACATTAAAAAACTTGATGACAATAAAAAAGTTCCTTTCTTCTTATTAAAGTTAGTTATTTATTACTAACTTAGAGATTTAAAACATATTAAAAAAAGATTTTTTAAAAAAAAGTCGGTAGTTGTTTAGGTTGGCAATTCACGGTAAGATTTAAAAATGGTACCGTAGCTCAAACCGTAGCTTCTTAAGTTTGGCGACCACAGGTGTCAGGGAAAGAAGGGGAGATCTTCGAATCACTCCACCAGGGTGATCTCTATCTAAACTAGAAGACTCAAGTGTTTGAAACACTTGTTGACAGGTGCCCGGGGCAACAGACTCCATCCTGTGTAGAGCACGTTGGAAAAATGCATTACTTCCCTACCATAACGTGGAAAAATGTCCATATATGAGATGAAATCTCGTGAAGAATGCTAAACTGACTGACTGATAACTTATAGCCAGAATACCACTGAGATCAGTAGTTTATCTGGCTCAATCAAATTTATGCCGGATGGGCACAATAACATAGAACTATCTTCACATAATGTCCGCAGTAAGGAGGAGAAAGACGGATAAAGAATAGGAAGACCAGCAACGCAAGAGCTCACATGCAAGTAACCGGCCCGGTAAAGGCGTGACTAAGTGGGAGTCATAAAATGAGTGTAGAATGTGAATAAAACTAGAGAATTTAAGAAATACACAGTACAATAAATGAGTAAAATACAAAATTAAGAATGCTAATAAACACATTGGGTACATCATTTACAGGTGGGCACTAGGTGGGAAAGTTCGGGTCCCTGATAAGGTGGGCCGCAAGTGGGCGCAGTTTGGCGTCCTCATTCAATATTTCGTAGGTAAAGATATCAAAATTTCTCATATGGTCACAGTTCAGAGCTTTCGTGAAGAATTTCCTGTTGATCTTATTCAGGTGCTCTTCTAGAGTGTCCAGTTTTAAGTCACAGTGTAGTGTAGCATTGCTCACAAAAAAGTGAGCATGGGTGATAAGCCTTAAGACTTTGTTTTGCATGATTTGAAGTCTTTTTATATCCTCCTTGGTAGCCGTGCACCAGGCTACCTCCTTGGTAGCCGGCGACGCATAAGTCATCAATGGCCTAATTGCCGTGATATAAACTAGCCTCTTTTTCTGAAGAATGCTATGAATGAGTCTTCGTATATATACGAGTTAGTTACTCCTCCAAAGTCGATACCTCAGTGCAGGGGGTGGAGCTACTGGTTATTGTGTCCAATTGAAATGCTGTAAAGGAAGTGCATCTACTTGCAAGTCAGGCATTGGAGGGGGGGGCGAGGATAAATTGCAATACGCATAAGAGTAAATGTAAAGTTAATTAAAATGTAATTTAAAGTAAAAAGATCATGGGATGGAATAATGAGTGGCCTAAACGTATAATAAGTGAAGATAAAACAATAAATGGGGAGACATTTAAAATTCACAATAAAATTGGCAAAGTACAGATTTTTAACTGAGGGTGAATTAAATTTACTTTAACAATTTCCATGCTGTGATTGAAAAGGGCGTGCTTTGCTTACATAGTTAAATTATTGATTTCATTAATTATTTCAAAAAATAGAAACATTTTATCACAAGAATTAGCTAACTCTTTCATTTTGGGCATGTAAGCTTTGAAGACATTATTCATTATTCTAATTTTGTTGATTCCAAAAATATTGTTGAAATCAGTGATATTCTTAATAAAACTTATAAACTCAGAATATTGATTTTTCTCCTGTGGAGAACTAGTGGCGTTATTTGCACTGGAGCTTTGCTTAGGATTATTTACATATGAAACATTCAGAGTTTTGACTGCACTGCTAATATCAGATACATTAAATTGCCTATTAGCCTTTACTGGCTGATTTTGTGCAGATATGGCGAAAAGCCATATCTGCAAAGGAGATTCTACTTTTTACAATACTGTTTTTAATCTGCTGGCTAATTCTATTTTTAGGGAACTTTTCGCACCCACGACATGGTTTTTTAGGCAGTTACTACACTTTGGTTCTTCTATTCTTCCTTTGTTGAAGAAATCCATCGACTTGTGCCCTAAAGAACACTTTACACACCTTGGTTTAAAGAAGCAGTTCTCCGGAGAATGGTGCCACTTTTGGCAATTATAACACTGTGCCACCTGATTCTTGGATACGTACTTTTCCACCTTCACGGCAAACAGTAATAAATCAGATACATAAAATATTTGATCAGAGATGTCATTTTTTCATTTTTTGGACGAGAAATAAAGGCATAAGGGCTTTCGTTCTGCGTCTAGTTAGTTGAGTCACTTTACTTACGGCGAAACCTTTATTGGCTAATGCGCTGGCTATGTCATCCGTCTTAGTAGTGGAGGATAAACCTCTAAAAACTACTTTTATTGGTCTGACGTAATTTGCATTTATGACATAGTGTTCAATCTTTTTTGCCTGAAACAGAGCATTCAGTATTCGATGGTCATCAGAAGTCCGTAGTAATATTTTCAACAATTCACTTTCCCGAGGAATTTGGCTTGTCTTGAGTGCTAAATCTTTTAAGAATTCCTCATGCTTAAGTTTTCCCGGATTCACCATTATTGGGGGGGATAGCCTTTTCTTGGCTGTTCCTCGGCTCCTGCTGCACTGTCTGTTGGCTAGGTGTAGTATTACTAGCACTTTCAACATTAGCATCATTAATTTCATTTAATACATCAAATTTATTATTAGACTCAATATTATGGGGTATTTTTTCAACTCTTTGTTGTTTTGCAGATTTAGTAGGGAGCTTAATCATCATCAACTTTACTAGAATTACTAGTTAATTTGCGTTTAGCCTTAGTATCATAATTTTTACTCTTTTCAGCAATTAAATTTTGGGAACCAATGCCTGAAGTACAAGGAAGATTACACTTACCTCTAACATCAGCAGCCTGGGCCTAGAGCGTTTGTAGAGCCTTGGCGTAGTGGTTCGGTCGTCGTGTCAGCATCCGTAGCCGGGCGTAACTTTAGGAATTCCATAATAGCAATCTGCATAGAAGCTACTTTAGCTTCCAATTCCTAAAGTAGGTCAATCCAATAATCATTATCGTGATTTTCAACAATAATTACGGGTGGTAAACCAACACAGCTTTCCTTGACAGAAGGCGACTCCAAAGCGGCGCTAACATCCATCTGTAGAATCTCATCGGCTTTGGACTTTCTCGTCTTCGTCGGAGAGCTCATGATGAGCAACTTTCACTCACGATTTCAAGGATCGAATCCTTCTAAACCAGAAAGGAACTCACGCTTTTGATGATTGGGATTCGTCTGCCCCTATCGTGCACCATGGGCAATGGTGAGATGGGCATCGCAATTCTCTGCGATGAGACAACCGTTCTCGAAGGTTTCAAGTGCGGGATTTCCGTTCGTTCCTTCTCAAGTCAGTTACGCAGGAAGAAAAATAAAATTTAAAAAAAAAAAAAAAAACTGAACTAATTTATTTTTGGACAACCGCTGATAAATTGATAATTTATTTTGAATAAGTAATAGTCATATCGTGATTTAAATCCATTTTTATTTCAATCAATCACATTAAGAAGTAGAAAAATATTCTTTCAAACTGCATTTACTACTTTTAAATCGCTTGGTTTGAAATTTGTGCAATGGCAACGCGTTGGCGCATGGAAAATAAAAATATTTCAGACAGGGGGAAATATACTGCATTTAAACAGTTTATTGATTAAAATTGAAAGATAAATATTTTAAATTTTGCAGAATAATTAATAGTCTGGCAAGCTGGAGATAAAATGCTTTATATTTCGAACACTGTTGCCACTGCTCGGTTTTAGTTTGCTGAGTTTGCCAGTCAAAAATTCATTAAGCTGATACAAAAATGAAATAAATCAAAAACAAATTCAAAATTCAAGTTTGGAGGTGCATATTTTCGAGTGGAGGCCTAAGTGTGTTCAGTATTGGTTGGCTACAGGTATGGCCGATTTTCCGCAATGAGAGAAACATACATACTACATACAGATTCTTCATTTAATAGGAAGAAATTAAAGATCATTGCGTCTTACTACATTTCGATCTCCTCCTATTAAAATCAATTTAGGATTATAATCGTGATAGAAGCGAATTTGGTAGTAAGAAGAAAATACTTAATTTTCAGCCAGCTGGGGGGGGGGATAAAGCTTAACTTCAAAAAGTTTTAAATTCGTATGCTCTGAAACGAAAGCAACAAGGGCAAGAATTTATTAACTGATATTTTTAAAGGAGAATATGAATTACGTTAGTTACCTGAAGCTTCCTTTTCAGTTCAAAAACTGTTTTACTACTTTTAAAATTAAATATAGTTGAGATTTAGCGAGCCTGGTAATGTGAATAAATTTTAATATTCTACAGCAGGTGGCGCTACATGTAGCTGTATTCATCCTCAACAGCCACATTACTGAATACCTTTAATTAGCAAATAATACATGCACTTTCTTTAAAGTACATGCCCAATCACAAGGCTTCTTATTTATATATTTTCTACAAAAAGTTACGACAAAATCAGAAAAGCTAACATGAAAACTTTTTGTATTTTTCACAGAAATTTCGATATTGCCTGTTTTCTTAAAATATCAGGGACCCACCAGGGCTTAATGAATAAACCCCACTAGGGAATTGGGAGGGGAGGAAATAGTAAAAAGGTCGAAGAAAATCTACCATCCCTACCATTGATGCCTTTTTGTTCTTCACTTCCTTTTCCATAACATCTGCTCTTAGAAGGAAAACGACAATTTTCATCTCTATCGGAAACACGAATGGCAGGCACCTTCAGAACTAGCTTCGATCGCGGTTTCTCTAAACACAGTTAAAATTATTGCATGGCGATAACATTTGGTGGCAATATACTTTTATTTGAAAATTGATTCAGATAAAAAATGAAGATCGAGTTTAACAGTACCTTTTGTGCTAAAAAAAACTCCGTATTTTTTTTTTTTTTTTTTTTTTTTCTTTTCTTTTCTTTTTAGAGGGGCTTTGTTAAAACACAGCTCGAAATTTAGGTAAACGTCTAGAAGTTAAAATTATTTTTTTTAATAATATAGCGAATATATCTCTTTTCAAGTAATAAATATGAAAATTTAATAAAATTAATTGAAAACGTCACCGAGGAAATACATTGTTTTGTTATTTATAATTCATCTCTATTATTAAATAATTAAGGACCTGTACATATGTATTTATAATGCTCGCATAATGGGAAAACGATTGAAACTACAGCCAACAAATTTCGCATACACCTACTCTCCCACCGAACATGGGCACCTCGAAGCCAGAATTCTGATTTTTTTTTTTATTTCATATTTTGTACGAATTTAACGAACTTTGATCAATAAACTGAACAACTTGAAAGCGAGCAACGGCAACACTGTTTGAAACAAAACATTTTTATCCGCAGCACATCAGACAATTGCTATAAGGCAAAATGAGAGAAGCTCATCTTTCAGTTTCAATCAACAAATTCAACTATTTTAAAGCAATGTGTTGCCACTGCCTGAAATAAAATACTTTTAATTTCCAAGCCCTAGCGTGGTGTCATTCAGTACAATGAAGATATTTAACTTTCAAATTAATCTGTCCGTTATTGATTAACAGAGCAAGAGCTTTCAAAGCACAAAGGCAGTTCTTAAGAATATTTTACTTCTACTTTTTAGTATGATTAAACTAAAATGAATTTAAAATCACGAAATAATTAATTAGAAATATTAAACAGTCTTATGAAATCACACTAACTGGACTCGTCACAATCATCACATTTTTTTTTTATTTATTTATTTATTTTTTTTTTTTTTTTTAGGCGACTGGTCATGCAAGCGGCTAGTATGAAAACATGTAAGTAGTTTTCTGTAAACTAGGGATGACTTCGTTCAGACAATGAGTAAAATCGATACAAGTTAACCACATGAGCGAATAAATAGCTAAGGTTATCACATTTAATATAATAAATTTGGAAAGTTTTATATGGTTTCATATTTATTCGATGATCAAAAACGTTTGAATTATCTAAGTAATCGACATCTAGAAATTGCAAATTTATAAATCTACCTTTAATTAGTTTTTTCAAATCAAAATTCTTAAGGCATTTTAAAATATTCTTAGAATATAAAAAGATATAACGACCTCCTCGATGCCGTTCGAAAAGCACAGGCAAATGATGTTATTTTTGAAACCATTAACGGAGCAGACCTTCAACTTAACTTCCCGGATATCAGTTTCTCCAAAACAAATCAGGAGTAATCTTTCTTTTCTAATAGTGTAGGAGTAAACTAAATCTGAAATCGATCTATTAAAAAGTAAAACATACGTTATGACACTGCAGTTTATGATTAGAAGAGAAATGCATCATACAAAGAGGCGTGAACAGAAAGATACTCCTATCACTTTAATCAGAAGACAAATTACATGAACAGCAAACTTCATCAGCATTAAGTTTTCGAATATAATTCTCAGAAATAACCTTCAGTATATATTTATGTGCTACACGGAAATCGTATTACTGCAATAAAGAATAGATATCATATTTTAAAGTGTAAAACACATACTAAAAAATAATATTGCATGTTGTTCAGTCTGAAATTCTCAGTCTGTCTTCGCAAATGCATTGCTTTCACTGCTCGCGGACACTTAGTCGACAGCTACTTAATCGACGAGACAGACACTTAGCCAACAGGACATTACACGTACATTTAGCCGACAGAACGTTTAACAGACACGGACATTCGTCGACAAGACATTTAGCTGACACGGACAATTAGTCCACGCGAACTTGGCTGCTGGTAGAACCCACATGCTTAGCAGACAGCATGTTTAACTGGTAACGGATATCTTTAGACAAAAACATGCGACATTTCAGTAGAATTTGGATCCAACAATTATTTAATTTTTCTGTTGATTACAAAATTACTCGAATTCTCCAAAAGTTCAATCTGAAAGTCATTTATCACCCCTCAGTAAAATTCATTGATTTCATATCTTAACGATTCAATCTCTGTTTTTAATTCTTGTGTAATCTAGAATACTATGCTAATGTGGTTTGATATAAATAGGCTAAACTGAAAAATCTTTGAAATTTCTTGGCGAGGAATATGAATTGTATGTTTGAAAAAAGAAATTTTTGACAGTTAAATTACAATAAGTCACTGAATTACATTTTGACTTTGGATCTGCAAAATTATCCGTAAAGCTTCTTTATTTAGTCCACTGGATTTGTTTGAACACTTTCACATTGACATGATTTCACACTAATTTCCTAATATAGCTTTTCACATTTATAACATCTTACCTTTTTTACGTTTCATTACTATTTTGCTCGACGGATTATGCTACTTTTCCATGTAACATCGTTTCGCTCTTCCCACTGTTGAAATTTTCTTTCCCTGCCATGAATTAGAGGGTCCGTTTTACAAATGACAATTACAATAGTAGTATAGTTGGTATTGGTTTCACTGAACCGACCAGCGTTTCCAAATGAAATTAGCACTTTTTAGTGCAGATTTCAATAAGCGCGATGCTAGGAAATATTATAGCAAATGAGAAAAAAGTTTCAAATCTCATTACCAAACTAGAAATTTTTCATAATTTTTGGAGGTGGAGGGTCAGTGTAGCAAATTTATTTAATTTTGTTATTAACAAATAATAAAGAAGACAATTTTCAAGACTGTATTGACCGATAGAAGTAGCTTCAAAATCACGCTGACCTCTATGAGAGGTACGCAGTTAATTCCACTATTTTAAAGACAAAGAATTATCTGATGAGGACACCATACGACT